GGCCTAGACCCTTCTGATGAAGGGTCTAGGCCCGAAACGTCAGCCTCTCTGCTCCTATGATGCTGCTTGGCCTGCTGTGTTCATCCAGCCCTGCACCTTGTTGTCTCGGATTCTCCAGCATCTGCAGTTCCTACTATCTCTATTATTAATGACTTCTGTTTCATTAACACAAAGGATAAATGCAAAGCGACATATGAAACACAGATTATCCTACAGATATAAAGCAAAAGCAACCTGCCTGTTCTTGTACTTCAGACCTATTAATACATCTTTATTTGTCAGTTTAATAAATGGAGCACCCTTATCCTTCCTTTAATCAGGCTTTGGAAACATCCTATCAATTACTGAATATCCTGGTAATTTCTTACCTGTGATTTGTCGCCGAGCCAGTGTCATGTCGTTCTGTGGTGTTATGAAGGTTAACTTCTCTTTGGCTGTATACATTGAAATAAATCCAAGATCAGACAGATTTGAGAAATGGTTCAAATTATATCCTAATATCGAAGGACAAAACCGTTTTTAAAATGGTTTTGTAGATGCCTTTGCTTACTTTTAGTTTTCATCAACCCAAGATGAATGAGTTGAAATTATCTACATGTTTGACAAGCTGAATTGATTGCAAAAGATACAGATCTATTTGCCTGTCTGCACTTGCAGTCAGCCGATGTACATCAGTTTTACATAACCTGTCTTTCTGTGCCAAATCCTGCACTGTTTTGTGGTATTAAAAGACAAGTTTTCATTATTTTTATTAGTTTAATCTTATTCCTACCATTTCTGTTCTTTCCGTGCATGTTGGTACCAATAAGAATTCGTGCATTTACATACCTTCACCTGAAGAAACAGGTTGGTTTGGGCAGCAGGCTTCATTCCAAGTATTTACAGTACTGTCATGTTGGCACAAAGAAGGTGCATATTTAGTGAAGGAAATGCTCGTACCTGGTGTTTCATCAAGCAGTCATCATGTTCTATGAAGAATTAAGAAATTAAGATCAACTAGAAAAAAAGTCTTCTTTTCGAAGACACAGTGGCAAGAATAATCTAAACTTCCCTTTCTCCTTCATGTGAGACTGATGTCCATGCTCTTTGCTCTATCACCATTTTTTCACTTTATAATATTGAGTTTCAGGTTGAACTTGCTATAGGGGGCATACAAAGTGGTAGTGACAACAACGCCCATTGTTTCTAGTGCGTTTCCGTCAATCGTTTATTTGTGTGATTTCGGTCAGATGTTCCAGTGGAGGGAGAAGTAC